CCTTCATATGGATTACACCTCAACAGAAAATAAAAATCCTCACAAATGGACCAATAAGCAACATCATGATCAATGCGGAAAAGATTGAAGTTGCCAAGAATTTCATTTTACTTGGATCTGCAATCAAAGCCCATGGAAGCAGCAGTCAAGAATTCAAAAGATCAATTGCACTGGGTAAATCTGCTTCAAAAGAGCTCTTTAAAGTGCTAAAAAGTAAAAAAGACTAAGGTATACCTGGCCCAAGCCACAGTGTTTTCAGTCATTTCATATAAGTCCTGGTGTGGCACTTTAGCATAAGCACTAGACTGCTAACTGCATGGTCAGGAGTTCTAACCTACCAGCAACTTCTCGGAAACCCGATACAGAGTGGCTGAGTCTAAGCTGATTTGACTGTACTTAACAACAACATATGCATGTGAAAGCTGGACAACGAATAAGGAAGAGCAAAGGAGGATTGTTGCATTTGGATTATGGTGCTGGTGAAGAATACTGAATGTACCATGGACTGCCAGAACAAATCTGTCTGGGAAGATTTACAATCAAAATTCTCCTTAGAAGCAAAGATGGTGAGACTTTGTCTTGAATACTTTGGAACTATTTTCTGGAGGAATAGCCTCTTAGATCAACCATCAACATTCATGGAAACCACAGTCAAGAAATCAGATGAAGGATGTATTGTGTTTGGTAAATCTGCTGCACAAGACCTTTAAAGTGTGCAAGAGCAAAGATACTAGTTTGAGGACTAAGGTGAATCTGACTCAAGCTATGGTGTTTTCAATAGCCTTATATGCATGTGAAAGTTGACAGTGAATAAGGAAGACCATAGAATAATGGATATATTTGAATTATGGTGTCGGAGAATATTAAAAGTACCATGGACTGCCAGAAGAACAAATAAATTTGATGTGTTGGAAGAAGTATAGTCAGGCTGCTCTTTAGAAGCCAGGAAGGCCAGACTTTGCTTCTCATACTTAGGACATATTATCAGGCGGGACCAGTCCCTGGAGATGGATATCATGTTTGGTAAAGTGGAGGGTCAGAGAAAAAGAGGAAGACCCCCAATAAGATGCAATTAGGACTCACTGGTTTCCAATGTTGTAAATCTTTATCGGAGTAGATTGCCACATCTACCTGCTACCTAGCCACTTGTGGGTTTGAATCACCAATATTTTGGTTAGCATTTAAGCACCAAAAATTACTTGAGTGTTGCAAGTGTTCAAAAAAGTTGATGAATTATTAATGAATGACTGACTTCCTGCAGCAGTGGGCTCAAGCATAGCTAGGACTGAGCAGTGCTTCGTTCCATTGTGCATAAGGTCACTTTGAGTCAGTACCAACTCAATGACACCTAGTAACAATAAACACCACCAATAGAACATTATTAGTGAAAAAAGAATTGCAGGGCATGTGGAATTACAAACCCTTCCTCATACTTAAAAGTGGTTCTTCCTAGGCTGCCAGTAAAATCATGTGACATTTTAGTAGGCTGAGTGTTTTAAACTTAAGGTATAGTTGTTTTTGTTTTTTGTTTTTCTAGTTCATATGTACACAGATTTATTCCAAACAAAATGTATTTGAACATGTCTGTGATCAATGGATGGCTGCAGACATATTCTCCTTATAATACATGAGTCTTAGTCTCAATATTGGTTTTCAGAAAACAAAAACAGTCATTCTTTTGTAAAGTTGAAGTACTAATCTTCAGATGAAAGACCACAAATTACATATAACTGAGGAATGTCCTGTAGCCTGTATTCAAGCTCTTTCAGATTGAGAGTATCTCTGACATCAAAGGATTCCTGGTATGGCACTGTAGGATGAAGACTGGACCACAAGGTCGGTTTAAACTGCAAGTTTGGTGGTTCAAACTCACCAGCCATTCCTTGGAAACTCATACAGGGTCACTATGAGTCTGAACAGAGTCGACAACTCATCAGAGCTCACTCACTGACATCGAAAATGAAGTTATCTCTTATATGATTCTGAATTCAACTCTCCCTAAAGAGTTCTCCCTTATATGGTCTATTACTGACCAGCTGACCTAAATAACATTGCTCTGTTTCAATATTTATTCATTTTAATTAATTAAATGATAGGGTTTCCTGGTGTGGCGCTGTGGATTAATACGCCAGACTGCAAAGCCATTTGAACTTCAAGGTTGGTGGTTCAAGCTCACCAGCTGCTCCTCGGAATCCCTATACAGTATACAGGGTGCTATGGGTTGGAACCGACTCGATGGCACTTAACAACAACAGGGTTTGGGTACAGAAGATTCAGCAGGAAGTCAGTCATCCATTAGTAATTCATCAACTTTATTGAACACTTGCAATACTCAAGTAATTTTTGGTGCTTAAATATTAACCAAAATATTGGTGATTCAAACCCACATGTGGCTAGGTAGCAGGCAGATGTGGCAATCTACTCCCATTCAGATTTACAGCGTTGGAAACCCTATGGGACATTTCTACTCTGGCCTATAGGATAGGGATGTTACAAGTCAGAATTGACTCAACAGCAAAGGGTAAGGAGAAGACAAAAATGAACTCAACCTGATTCCTTTCCTCAGAGACTTCACTTAAGGTATAGTTGTGTTTGT